TCCTGTTCTTCCTCCTCCTCCTCCTGCGTTTCCTCTTCTTCCTCCTCCTACTCTTCCTCTTTCTCCTTCTGTTCTTCCTCCTCCTCCTGTTCTTCCTGCTCCTCCTGTTCTTCCTCCTCCTCCTGCTTTTCCTCTTCTTCCTCCTATTCTTCCTCTTCCTCCTCTTTCTCTTCCTCCTGTTCTTCCTCCTCCTCTTCCTCCTCCTCCTGCTCCTCCTCAGCCTTCCCTCTCCTCCACTGTCCAGTGCCCGAAAGCATCATGTGCACTGTGTCACTCCCACCAATTTCTTGTTAAAACAATGAAGAGGAAACATCTCTAAAGGAAATTATCAGGGAGTCTGCAGAGACAATTTCAAATGTCAGTGACAGTTCTTGCGCGAAGTCAGGGAGCACGTGCTTCTGTCTGTAGAGCCGCCTGCTAACTGCCGCCTAAGTGCTCACGCCGGGGGAGGGGAGGGAGGAGCATTACTGGAAAGCACTGCTCGGGGCTCAGTTTCCACCTCCGCCCCAGCCGTCTACACTATTTTTGAGTTTTGCAATCCACATATGCATTTTAATGAATAATTTCAATAAAAATTTTGGATCATATAATTTACTTAACTGATCACAAATAAGAAACACTGTTTTCAGAAATGGTAAATGATTATGAAAGCATTTCAAGTGTAACTCATGAGCAGTATTTCTGTTCTCTGAAGGATTAAGAACAGGTTCATTTCTCAGATGTGATCGGTACCACATTTTTGTTCTGAGCGATGCAGCCCTTTGTTTAGATGGAAACACCATTCCGAGTCTGTCACTGTCCTAATACGCTTATTTCTTAAGATGCCTGTTTACAATTCATTTTTAAAATACACGGATCAAATGTTAATCGGATGATGAACTTCAGCAATTAAGCCGATGAGTGCGGCCGAGCCAAGCCCTCTGTCCTTCCAGCAGTCTTTCCTTCAGCTATTGTCAGCTGCTGTCAGCTCGCAAGGGGGCCTGCAGGTACACAAAGCACCCACCTCACCTCCTCTGCCAGGTCAGGCCGCGTCATGAGTGCCGGCATCGTGACGACAGTGGGCTGTGCCCTGCTCAGTTCCGGGAACCACGCGCAGGCACCCACTGTATTCATATAGGCAACAACCGGAGGGGCGGTGGTGAGACGCAGGGCTCGTTTGCTATGCGTAGCTGAGTTACGACGGACACCTGAGCCACGGTGTGTCAGTGGCAGCCAAGAAGGCCGAACGGAAAGCCTGGTACAGCCATGGATCTCAGGGGGTACTCTCTGGTATTGCTGGACCTAAACTAGATGAAGGTAGTTTTTGAAATATAAGTTCATATAAGCTGTAATAAAAATCACTGTGCACTGAAGTCTCAGTAGATAGACATCCCTTAACAGACACGCTGATGCCTGAACTTCCACCACGCATTGCATTGAGCTCACACATGTGTGCTTAGCCTTCCCAGGACACACACAAGAACACGGAGGGCTGGGAAGCTCACGGCATTCCCAGGGGCTCAGATGTGGTGGGCTCCAGTTGTCACCAGCATCTGAACTCAAGATCCCACTGCTGAGAGGCAGGGTGTCCCCTGCCTGGGTGGGGAAGGGTGTGAAGAAGACCGGAGGGGCAGCCCTTCACCCACGTGGTGCCTGCCTCAACCAGCACTGTGGTAGGGCAGGGGAGGAAGACGTGTGCCTGCTGGGCACCAGGGCTGGCCTAGGTGTGGGAGGGTGCTCTGGGAGCCGGGGCCCGCCCACCACACTCACGCTGCAGGCAGTCGGCGTTGAGCAGGTCCTGGCACTTCTCGTGGCACTTGACGCCACACTCGGAGCAGCGCATGCCCTGGCGCGCGATGCCCCACAGCAGCCCCTCACACTCGTAGCAGTAGGTGGGCGTGGTGGCCGTCCACACCTCGAAGGTATGTGGTGTGGTGTAGGACATGGGGTAGATCAGCGCCTGCAGGGTCTTCTTGAAGACATGCATCTTCTGCAGAGAGAAGTGAGCAGAGCCGTCAGGGGTGCGAGTTTGTTTCCTTCCCGCCGCAGTGACGTCAGCCACAGGCCCTCCACCCTCTACTCTCCCAGGGCTCCCGGCCAGGCCAAGCTTGGGAAGAGAGTGGCTCTGTCTGCAGCCTGGAGGCCCTGTCAGCTGCCTCTTCCCCACAAGCTGCCCCCCTACCCCCTGGTAGCATCATCCCCTCCCGCTCTACTGCAAACCCTGTGACCCCAAGGGGACAGTGTCCACTGGCTCACCACCATGGGACCCCCTGGTCAAGGGGTCAAGGGGTTGCCTTGAGCAGGTTGGGAACGGGTCAAAGCTCCAGGCCCCAGCCATGCCCAGTCCCAGCCAACTCCTGGTAAAAGGGGAAAATCTTGGAGAGCATGCCTGGTGCTGAGCCTGCTCCTCCAAGGACACCCGGCTTCACTTCCTGCCCTGGCCTCCCTTCCTTCCTGTTGCCCGTTCTGTCCCCAGGCTGCAGGGACCAAGAAAGAATCTCACCACCCAATGCCTAGGATAGCATGCATGGCAGATGAAGGAGAATGTGGCTGCTCCCCTATGACTTCTGTGGTAAGGGCAACAGTCAGGGTTTCCTCAGGAGAACACACCGCAGGCTATGAACTCCCAGAGACCTGGGCTCCCACCTCATCATGCCCAACATGGGCTCTGCTAGCAGGAACAAGCGGACGTTCCCTTCTCTCCTTCACGCCCTCACAGGACCTGCCGCTGCTCAGCACACAGGAAGGGCCTGGGCGTGCGTGCAGTGAGTTGGGGTCCTACCACCTAGCAGCCTTGCAGTACACAGGGAGGCCAAGGCTGTAGGAGGAGCCCTCCTTCTCCTGCGCCACTCCTATCAGTGCTGTCACATGAAGATCGACTCATATACTGATAGCAAAGGCGTGCTGCAGCCTTCAAACCCTAAAGGAACACTGAGTGCACGCGTGGATGGGTGATTTTCAACAGCTAACGCAGGGTGCTGGAGGAGTGAGGAGAGGCCCTCCCATGCTCTTGTTGGCATGGTGGGTGTGTGCACATGCATGCAAGTACACACATGTGCACACATGTACACACATACACATATATACTGTAGGCACACATGCACACATATACACATACATACTGCAGGCACATATACATACTGCAGGCATACACACATACACATATGTACTGCAGGCACACATGCATACACATACATACTGCAGGCGCACATGCACACACATACAGCAGACATACACACATATACTATGTACTGCAGACACATGTACGTGCACACACTGAAGGCACACACACACACACATGCCCACGTATGCACTGCAGGCACATCACAGTGACTTCACACGACGCCCACTGCCCTGTCAGCCCGGCTCCCAGGGCCACGGGGAGGCCTCGGTCGCTACGCCTCACTTCGGGGCCTCTTCCCACGGCACAGGGCCCGGCTCTGCGCTGTTTCCAGCCTCCCTGCCCCTTGGCGCCTGCCTGGCTTTGTCAGCAATGCTAGTGGAGCCTCACGGAGGCATCAAGCTTTATTAACAACCTTCCTAAACTTGGCCCTGGCCAGACCCAGTGTCGCTGCTCCGAGCGGGTTGGGCTGGTGCACAGCGCCCGCCGTGCTGCCAGGAAGCCCACAGAGCAGTGTTGGGGCCGATGCCGGCCAATCCACAGTCAGAGCCAGTGTGGTGGCACAGGGCTGAGGCACGAAGATCGGGTTTGAGCTTCTCCTGGTAACTAATGAGGTAGCTCAAAAGCAAAAAGTGCAAAGACCTTGGGACTCGACTCAATGCAAAGGGCTCCATTCCATTACTGAAAACAAAGGGGCAGCTGCTGCAGAGAGGATTAGGGTTTCGCAGACGGACACACTGCTCTGCTTCTATCTAGACGGGCCCAACCTCATGTCCTCAAGGCTGGGGCTTGGGGCGTGGCTGGGGTCACTGTGGGTATGGCCTAAACTGCGTGCCTGCTTCCTGCAGGGCCTCCTTGCGCCCCTCTGCTTCCTAGCTGCCCTCCATGCGCGGTTCGTCCGCCATGCCACCGTGCTTGCCGGAGCCAGCCAGCTGCAGACCGACACCTCCACAGACACCTCCACAGACTGCGAACTGGCAAACCTCTCCTCCGCTCCCTTGTGGGTGTCAGGCATTCTGTCCCAGCAAGGAGCAAGCAACCAAGGCACACTGGAGCCGGCACTTGTCAACCGCGCTGGGGCCATCCCTTGTCAGTCACGCTAGAGGTGTCACTTGTCAGTCACACTGGAGCTGTC